CAAATCAGAGTGAAAAAACCAGCAAATTGGCCGAAAAATACTGACGAAGCCCGGCGGCGTTGCCGTAGTGAATTTCACAAACCACCTCTGATGAGGCACTTTTCGATTCCTGTTTCATGTAATTTTTCCACCGTGGTGATCACCGTTTTCTTCTCTATGGTTTAAATGCATGTATTATTGGCTTACCTGACCATTGTTTGATTTTGAAATTTGAGACATGATTGCATTACTGGATGCATATTTATTTATTTATGTGATTATATTTGATTTGGTAATGGAGACTAAGGAAAAGCAAGAAATTGGTGTGATCAAATAAATAGATAGAATGACAGTCTTACTAGATATCTTGGGAGATGGTGGACGGACTAGGTACATAGGGAACCTTACCATGAACGTTGTCTCATACCGGACGGGATATGGAGACTAGGTAATTTAGCACTCATACTGGACGGGGTATGGGGACGACCCGCTTCACCCTTATACTAGACAGAGTATTGAACTTTAATGTCTTGGAGCTTATACCGGACGGGGTATGAGAACTACCCTGTAATTGAGATTGTTAAGCAAAATGGTTTACGTGTAGCGGGAACACCCCTATGAACCCCCATGGATACTAGTAGGCTGGTAAAATGAGAAAATGCTATAATTTGGTTTATTCTTAATAAATATGAATTTATAATATATTTTATGTTGCTGATTGTTAATAAAATTCTGATATGTATGGTATTATTGTCTCTATAGGTTGTTTTCATAAATTCCACAATGGTAAGTGAACGGTATATTATTTTATAATTGATAAATAAATTTGCTAAATTTAGTGCTCAATTAGTTATTTTTGTTTTTATATCCACCTTTATTTCTGTGTCGGTGATATAGTGTGATATCCTTACTGGGCTAGTGTAGCTCATCCTTTATTTAGCCATTTCAGATCAAGAGGACCTGATTCCAAAGCCCAATCCGCAAGAAGATTGCGAGTAGATGCTAGATACTTTCTATTTTTTATACTTTTCTTATTTCTCGTGTTTCTTTCAGAGAATTCGTTCCGTAATGTTTGTTTAGTACTTTTAAGTTATTGTGTAAGGGATATAAACCTTTTATTTCGCTTTTGCACTTTAATTATTATATATATTTTTTTAGATTTTCGGGGTCGTTACAGTTGGTATCAGAGCTGCGTTCCTCAGACCCGTTCCTTACACAATGATACTTAGGGAAACACCAAACCAACGAATTATCACTCAACCTTTCCTTGTGAAATGTAGGTACAAAGAGATAAGGAAAGGAAGACCCCTACTAAACCGAGCAGCCCAGGATGGTTCGCTTAGGAAAGATGTTGACCGGATATTTGAGATGCTGGAGAGACTCATTGCTGCCCAACAGGGCCGAGAAGAGAGGAGGGAGCTACTTGACCCTCCCCCGCTGCCACAGGTTGAGTTACCACTGCAGCGAGAGGATCCCGAGTCACCCCAGTACGACCATGCTCCTCTATAGTATCACCTGGTACCACCGCAGTATGATCCGGTGCCCCAGCCACAGTACCACCCGGCACCGCCACAGTACAATCCGATGCCCCCACTGTATCAGTAAGTACCACCACAGGGCCCCCCAATTTATCCTTAGCCTGGCCCAGTCCCTCTTCCACGAGACCCAGTTCCTCCCACGATTGACTCAGACTATATAGAGAGGTACAAAAGACTAAACCCATCTATTTTTGTAGGGGGATCCTCTTTTGAAGATGCCGAGTACTGGTTGGTAGAGACAGAGAAAGCCTTCAAGACCCTAGGGGTGACTCCCAAGCAGAAGGTCACCCTTGCTACTTATATATTAGTGGGAACTCAAAAAGACCACCCTACCTGTTCCAGTTACTTGGGAACAGTTCCTAGCAGCCTTTCATGTAGAGTACCTCCTATAGTATCTCCGATATTTGAAGGAGATGGAGTTTGTCTAGTTGGTCCAGGGGAACATTACTGTACCAGAATATGCTCGTAAGTTCCTGGAGTTGGGCCGATACTCTCTTGAGACGTTGTTGGATGAAGGCAGGAAGGTTAGGAGGTTCTAGTGGGGCCTCCATCCAGAGATCAGACAACATTTGTTTGTGTTGGAGCTCAGGATTTATTCGGTTGTTCTGGTCAAGGCACAACTAGTGGAGAGGAGCTTCCGCACTCTCTCTCAGACAGCAGGGAACCTCATACCTTCAGCTCCACCCCACAAACCAGCACCTACTTCGCCTATTCAACAGAACAAGAGGCCTAGGCCGGTGATCTAAGCTCTCACTCAGGCTCAAGTGGCAGGACGTGGTAAGATCTGTCAACATAGCGGCAGGGATCATGAGGACCGACCCTGTTACCGCTCAACAACACCTGTCGCATATGTGGTAGTGCCTAACATTATGTGAGAGAGTGCCCAAGGAACCAGAATCAAGGCAAACCTCTTATTTAGGGTAGGACTTACAATCTCACCAAACAGGATGCTGAAGCCAAACCAAACGTGGTACATGGTATATACATTATCTGTAACTATCTTACTCATGTTTTGATTGACACTGGTGCATCGCATTCATTTATTTTACTGTTTTTACATCAAAATTTAACGTATTACTTGATAAACTTGATTCTATGTCGTTTGTGTCTACTGCTGGGAGTATGACACTATTGGGAGAAGTTGTCTACAGGGCTTGTGTCGTAGAGATAACAGATAAAAAATTGAGTGTGGACTTAATAGAATTAGACACAGGAGATTTTGATGTAATTTTAGAAATGAATTGGCTAGCTGCGTATCACGCCACCGTAGATTGTTTTAGCAAGAAGGTTGTATTCAATCCTCCTAATGAGGAGCCATTTATAAATTAATAAAATCATTTAGTACTTATTCGTTGATGTCAAATTTTCTTATTCGTCGAGTATTTTAACCCTACTGTTTTCTTTAACTAGGCAAACCCAAGAAAGATAATTGTATTCAAGAAATTCTAGTAGTCTGAGACTTTGCAGATGTGTTTTCGGATGAACTACCCGGACTGCTAGTGGACAGGGAAGTCGAATTCACCATAGACCTACAGCCAGACACCCAGTCTATTTTGGTTGCTCCTTACTGCATGAGCCAAGTTGAGATGGAGAAACTGAGGAAACAGATCACTGAATTGCAGGACAGTGGTTTTATTAGACATAGTGTGTCCCCCTTGGGGTGCTGGGGTCACTTTTTCCAGAAAAGAGGATGAGACGTTGAGGTTATGTATTGATTACAGAGGGTTGAATAGAGTCACAATCAAGAACAAATATCCCCTTCCTAGGATTGATGACCTCCTCGATCAGTTGTAGGGTATGTAGGTATTCTCCAAAATAGATATGCGTTCAGGTTACCATCAGGTGAAAATCAAGCCAGAAGACATCCCCAAGACAGCCTTGCGAACCCGTACGGACACTATGAGTTCCTGGTCATGCCATTTGGGTTAACCAACGCCCTAGCCATCCCCATGGATATGATGAACAGGGTCTTCAGACAATTCTTAAATTAATTTGTTATCGTGTTCATCGATAATATCTTAGTTTATTCAAAAAGTAGAGAGGAACATGCCACCATCTAGCTCAGATTTTACAGATTCTCAGAGGAAAGAAGCTGTATGCAAAGTTGAGTAAGTGTGAATTTTGGTTTGAGCAGACCACTTTCTTTGGACACATCATATCAAAGGATGGAGTATCAGTGAACCCTGAAA